GAGGACAGGGAGAGCCAGGAGTGGCTGCCTGCTACTTACCTTTTCCAGATCCTGGCCGTGCCGTCACCTGAGATGGGGGCCACGTGTTGCCTGGCCCTGGGAGAGCCAGCCAGTCCTGGAGGCTTTCCCACAAAGTGCGAGGCTAGGGTGCACATGTTTGGACGAGCAGAGCCCAGAGTAACAAGAACTGCCCCTAATGGGAGCCTCACTGTCAGGGCTCACTTGGTCCTCACAGTGGTACTGCCAGGAAGATGTTACTATTATTGACCCATTCCACAGCTGAGGAAACTGAGGCACAGAGGGACTAACACCTCGCCGTACTCACACAGCGAGCAAGTAGGAGAGCCGGGGTCCCAACGCCGGCAACCTGGTTCAAACCGATGGCCTGCCCCACCTTGCCCTTCTGCGGTGCCTCAGACACAACAAAACGATTCCAAGTGCCTGATCACTAGTGGACTTCTAGGTAACAGAGTTTGAAAAAATGAATTGCTATGGTTTCAGATTCCACACGGCAGCTCACCTTTAAGAAACCACTACTTGGGTTTTTGGTTCAATATCAAAGAGTACCTACCCACCGTTATCTGAAAAGCCTCTCGCAGAGCTGTCCTCTCCCCGCCAGCTCCGTGTTTACCGGAGGCTGAGCTCCCCTGCGCACCTCCGCCAAAGCCGCACGGCGCAGGCTGCGCGCGGAAGCAGATGCGAGGAGCCAGCTGTCTTCTGTACATTCAGACGTTCAGGAGCCCGGGAAAACTAGAAACTGCTGCCACCCTTCTCACCGTTAGTTTTGTTTTGGAAAATATGTTACTTTTCTTAAAACTGGTGCCAATATGGAAGGAATTTATTGTTGTTATTTTTGATACAAAGCAATAAACATTCAAAACATTTTTCTCAGTTGTAATTTCTAATACAGTAAATATCTTCAAAGACCACCCACAGGGACAGATACTCATTAATTTTTAAGGGTATAAAGTGGTCCTCAGACCAAAAAATCTGAGATAAGGTGCCTTTCAGAAAAGCTGGCCTTAGTGGGGACCAGTGCCCAGGCCTCCCGCAGGGCCCCTGGCTGCCGGCGGCTGTGCCGGGAGGAAGGCGGGTTTCACCCCATCTCTCTTCCACGTTTTGTGTAAATGACCTGGCCTGCCCCCTCTTCCCCGTCTGGGGTGGCTCAGAGATCGCTAAGCATGTCTCCTCTTTGGCATGCGTGTGATGTGGGCACCCGTATTTACTTCTCAGCAATGTGCGGGACGAGAACAGCAGAATATACGGTTGGAGAGTAAGTGTGCAGTGAGTAATGCGGGGGTCATCTAGCAGGGTCCGGGGACGGGAGGCATCACAGGAGGACTTAGGGGCCAGGCTGACCCTAGGAGGTTGGGTTTGATGCTCCTGTGATCACCCCGGGTCTGGCTCACGTCTGCCTCTGCCCCACCTGCGTTTGCAGCGTCGCCGTCTGACCTTGCAGTGCTGAAAAGTGGGACATTGGATATGTGTCTCCATGGGCTCTGCGTCATCTAAAGCAGTTGCTGTGGGTGATTGTCTCCAGCTCCCCCAAACCCCCATACCTTCTTCCCACTCCCTGCCCCAGTCAATAAAATACTGAGTTTATAGTCTTAGATTTTAAGTGGAAAGATACCTTTGTGCTTCTGAGCACTAAAGAGACAGAGTACAACACCTTTGGTGTATTTTTCAGAGGGGAGTCCTCTCCGTGAGCAGTTTCCACCTGCCTCATCTTTCGTTACGGTGTTTACCCCTGTCTCAGCTCCGCTCTGGACTCAGAGATGAACTGGGCACGGCCCTGCCAGGAGAGAGCACGGCCTCAGACAGCTGCCAGGAGCGGGCGGTGTGTGGGGGGAGAAAGCTGCCCTCTAGGTGTGGGGCTGTCTGGGAGCAGGTGCTCGGATGGGAGGACACTGGGAACCATCGCCCAGGTGAGCTGGGAGTTTGCGTCCGGGGTGACCAGACAGAGTGAACAGGTAGTGAGGAAGAGGGCGGACAGGAGGTGTAGGGAGGGAGCGCAGACGGCTCCGGTGGAGTACTTGGCCTGCCGTGGTGAGTACTTGGAGAGGTTCATGGAGAGAGTGGGGAGTGAACTTGACCTTGAAGGGTGAGTAGGTTTTGGGGAAGTGAAGAGGAACAGGGAAAGTACTGGAGGGTTAGGACATATGAGCGGGGGCCCCACAACAAGTAAGTTCAAGGCGCACAGGTCAGTGTAGCTGGAGGGAAGGGGCTGTGTGGGGAGCAGGTTCGGGCTGTGAGACAGGGGGTCTCGGGGACCAGACTTGAGTTAGGGACTTGCCCTTTGGATTCAGGAAGCCACGGATGGTCTTAGAGAGGTGGCCTGTCCTGTGTACATAGGGATCCTTGGGAGGTGACATTGATAGAGACGCCCGGAAATGACGGAAGGGGGACACTCTGACCCTGGAACCATAGCAGCATCTCTTCACTGTGGGCAGCAGGGAGGGACAGGAAAAGATGAAAAAATAAGCCCTTGCGAGGCGTCAGGGACGGACTGAAGTCGTATGGCAAGGGGGTGGGAAGAGTGGATGGTGGTGCCAAGTTTTTAGCCTGATGCCAGTGAAATACAAATACACTTGTGTTTCTTTACATAGCTGCGTGTGCAGACGACGGTCCAGAAGTGCTCATCTCGTTTGGCACTTAGCTTCTGGGAAGACCAGGAGGAAGAATTCTCTCAGGCTGGGAGTCAAGCTTTAGCTCACTTTGAAGCTATTATTATGACTTAAGAAAACACAATTAGGATTCCTGGGGTGCGAATCAAACGAAAAGATAATGAGCTTACACCCCATGTTGTCTGGGGACGCCTGTCTCCTCCGCGAGGCCCAGCGGCCCCCCACTTCTGGTGTCCATGGCTTCTCGTAATGATACGCGTCCCTGGGATGTGGGCTGAGCGTGGTGACTCGCTTCTCAGGAACAGACGTTGGCCACAGGCACGGGATCTCTCTCCTGTGACGTGGCTGCACGCTCGCGGGGACCTCTGCCCTGCCCTCTCCTGCTCTTAGGGAAGCTGGCTGCCACTCTGGCAGCTGCCTTGTGCAGAGGCAAGGAGGTGAGGCCTCCAGCCAACAGCCAGTGAAGACCTGAGGCTGGCAAGAGCCACGTGAGTGAGCTTAGAGCCAAACCCTCCCCTTGTTGAGCCTGAGGTGACCACAAGCTGTCACATTGATTGAGAGGCCAGGAGCCAGAGGAACCGGCTAAGCCGCTCCCAGATTCCTGACCGATGGCACTGGGGCAATAAAACATATGTGGGGTTAGGTTGCCAAATCTGGGGACCTGTGTTCCACAGGGAGAGATGACGATTACACCTGAAACCCCTTAATGGGGTCTAAGAGGTTGTCCCCAAAGCCAGACTGCGTGTGTTCACATCCTGGCTCTGCTTTATAAGCTGTACAAACTGAAGCAAGTTATTCAGTTTCACGTGCCTCAGTTCCTTCATCTGCAAAATGGGAGTAAGAATAACACCTATGTCAGAGGGTAAGTGTGAGATTAAGTGAGAGAGTCCCTAAAAGTGGATTCGGACAGTGTTAGTGCTGAGTGAGTACTAGGCATCACCATGATTATGATGAGTCTACCCTTTAAGGCCCAACCTGACGCTCATCCGTCTACAGTTTCTGTTGTGCTGCCCCACCCACACTGACCTCTCCTCTCGGGGTTTTTATAGCATCTTGTCTGCACTTCACACCCTCGTTCTCCATTTAAAACCCTCTGGCTTGATCCTGGATGGTCTCAGATCTATGAACTTTTCCCAGCTCTGAAGGGTCCCCAGGAGGCCTCAGCAGAGTGCATGACACAGAACAAGGATTGAGTGAAGTGGGCAGAGGGGAACGGGATCAGCTATGAGCTCGTGAGGTCAGGCACGAGTGGAGTTGCCGCGTGCTGTGTGACCGCGGCCTAGCCCTGTCCCAGCGCAGAACAGGTTTGAAACCATCCAGTTAAACCGGATGAGGCGAGCAGACACAGGACAGGTGCTCGGCCACCGCTGCACGCGCGAGGCCAAGGGAGCGGGGACGCAGCGGTCCAGGCAGCTCCATGCTGGGTGGGCCCGAGGTGCGAAGGGAGTGCTTGACGAATGTTTTTCGATAAATGAGGCCCCTTGTTAATTCTGGCTGACCTGGGGAAAGGTCACCGAATCTGGGCCAAGTGTTTGGAGTTCGGGTGATGGCAAGTGGAGGCTTCTGCTATCCAGCTGGTGTCTTCCCTGCATTCGGCTCACGGGCGGGCCTGAGAAGAAGGCTGGCAGCAGGCGGGGAGAAAGCAGAGACCCTGGCAAGCAGAGAGGGAACCACGGCTCCCCCTAGCACACGGGCACCTGAGGGCCCACCTTGCCACTTGGCGCCCTGAGCAGCTGTGGAAGGAGGGAGGAGGGGGTGGCTGCACCCTGAGCAGTGACCTCAGGTGCTGAGGCGCTCTGTCCGCCACAAGCAAGACGACTTCCCGGACCCAACTGCAAACGCTTGTCAGCTCCTGCCGCGGTGATCAGAACAGCTCCTACAGAAACCTCCAGGCAGGAGCTGCCACTCCCTCATCCACGTGTGCTTTCGGAGCATCCGCTGGGTCCCGCAGGGCCCTGCGAGGCACCCGGGGTGGGACAAACCTAAGCCAGGATTCCTGGCCCTGCCGGTCCTACCGTCCAGGGCAGGAGCTGGGGCGGTCCAGCCTCCCAGGGAGAGTGGAAAGGCACCAGTACCTTTGATGGTGTCACAATGGCTGGGAGTGGCATGGACCTTTAGCAGGAGGGGCTCGGCCCTCCTGCGGTTCACAGACAATACCCCAGGGTAAAGCATTACCCTGGTCAACTCCCCCTTTGGGAATGACTAGCTCAGTGGGAGAGCGAAATGTTAATCAATTAACCACACAAGTAAGTGAATAATTACAAACCATGCTAACTGCTATGAAGAGAACAGTACAGGAAGCTCAGAGGGGGAACAACGCAGGCCCTCTCCGGGGTGGGGCGGGGGGGGGTGTGAGGAAGGCTTCCTGAAAAAAGCAGTGACTGGGCTGAAATCAAGGGCATGAATGGGGCACTGGGTTGAAGGGGTGAGTGCAGGGTGAGGCGTGGAGTCAGAGCAAGGGGAGAGAGAGGGAGAAGTTGGCTGAGGCTAGTCACTCCGGTCCTAAGAAGCCAGGTGAGATTCTGGTGTGAGTTTCCTGCATGAAGCGGACCTGACGGCACCTGAGGCTTGGAAAGGTCACCCTGGAGGGACATGGGGGGTGGACTGGAGGCATGGCTGGGGAGAGCCCGGTTAGATGGTGCGGCGCTGCAGGGTGGTGCTGGCTTGCACGGGGGGTGAGGGTGAAGAGAGAAGACCAAGGGGACAGCCTTGCCAGATGCCAGGAGGGAAACAGGTCTGGGGGTAGATTAGGTCCGGGGCAAGAGTCAGAACGGTGGCAATGACAGCCAGGTGACAGCGGCCACTTGGTAAGTCGCAGGCGCTGGAAGCAGAACAGTTCTGGGGGCGACTGTTAGCTCCGTTCTGAACCAGGTAAACCTGAGATGCCTCTGAAACAGCCGAGAGGTGTGTGCGAAGAATTTGGCTGCACCCCTCTGGGGGCAGAGGTGCCCTTGGGGTGGAGGGAGGGTTTGGGAGAAGTTGGTACGGGAGACAGAGGCCACTGGCGGGGGCAGGCTCCCCGGCAAGGGTTTAGGAGGGGAGACACATCTCCACCGAAGACTTGAGGCGCCCTGAAGGTCACGGCCAGGTAGAGGGAGACGACTCAGGCCAAGAGAGAAAGAGGAGCAGGAGGGAGGGGCAGCAGGAGAGGGAACTGCCACAGAAGCCAAGTTCAATGGTCAGCAGGGCCTCCTGGGCTGGGAAGTTGAGTAAGAGGGTGACTGAGAACCGTGTCTTGGATTTAGAAAATGAGGTCACTGGTGACGTCGGCCACAGCTGAGGAGGCGGCCGGGGGTGGGCCGGTGGGCGGGGGGAGAGGAAACGGAGCGGGCGCCGGCACTTTGAAGAAGTGTGTGAGGGGAAGAGGGGAAGCAGGAGGACGTGGGGTTGTGGGGAGGCCAGCGTTTGCCTAATTTTGGGGGGGGGTCGAGGTTCTCCATGCCCCTCACAGAGCACTGGGAGAGTCGCGTGTGTTCCCTCTGCTCCACACCTAACACAGTCGCCCTCACACAGGGATTCTTGCCACGTGACAGTCACCCTGATGAGGAGGGTGGTGCTGTGACGGTCCTTACTTCCCAGCTGAGGCCCAGAGTGGGTATGCAACTTGCCCAAGGCCACACAGCGAGTAAGTGGAGTCAGGATTTAACCAAGCTAATCAGGTGAACAGTTAGCCACAGAGTCTAACTGAAGAGTTGTCTTCAGCATTCTTGCCCTGGTCTGTCCCTCACCAGTCATGTGCTAGAGTTCGTGGAGGGGACCCTGCAGCATCTTCCCGACCCCACGCTCCGTGATCACACCACCAGGGTGGGAGTATTTATACCCTGAAATCTGGCACAAATTGGAGCTATTTTCAGTCCCTTGCAGAGCCAGTTGTTACACATTTACCAGCACACACACTGCTCATCCCAAAGGACACAGAAGTGAACCCGGGAGAAGCCCTCCATCCCAGACAGAGTGGCCCGGGGCCTCTTGGCTCCCTCAGAGGGGCCCGCCCACACCCACCCTGTGGCCGGGAGGCCTTCTACCTCTGAGTCCGCGAGACCCCGTTTGCTGAGCTCTAGGGTGTCAGGAGGGAGGCAGCTCCCCCTGGGGAGCCCTCGTGGCCCAGTGCTGCTGCCTGGAGCCAGGCTGTCTGGATGAGCTGCCTCCCTCCACCTGTCACCGCCCACCCAGGGGCCTTTCCTGTCCTTGCCTTTCCCTCCTGGAGCCCAGAGTATCGGCCCAGAGGGCGTGACCCAGACCCTCAGAGCCCTTGCTTCTACTTGCCAAAACGTAGCATGGTTTTCAGAAAAGAAAAGAGGGCAAAGGCGGAGGGCTGCCTCCTGCCTCAGGGCGAGACCCCAAGCTGTGAGGCCGATCACAGAGCACCTCCCCGCACGGAGCTCCCCGCAGACCCTGCGTCCTCCCAGAGAACCTGCCGTGTTCACTCCGTTTTAGAGATAAGGGGCTGAACTGCAGGAAGGGGAAGTGAGTGGCAGATCTGAGATTTACTTCGGGCGGACTCCGAGGTCCCCGGCCTGGCTCCTGCAGCCCCGCTGCGTGTATGGAGGGGGCCCGTGGGTCACACGGGCTCAGGACCATCGTGGGGCTGCAGACGCTACCACCACCCGGGTCCTACGGGCTGGGCGGATGGGAGGGGCCAAGGCTTCCCCTTTCTGCCTTCCAGGCCCCCGGGTCCCAACCTGCAGCCTGCAGCGCCCACCCCCACGTGACCGCCGGGCTCCTACATTTCCCCATTCAGCTGATGGTGAGTGCGTGCTATTTAAGCCCACATGGAAGTA